GAGGCTCTCCAACAGCTTCACCAACAGAGCCAGAAGGAGGAATGTCCGAGCAGGGCAAAGCAGCCTGGGGCAGCTGGGACGCACTTTGCGCTGGCACCCCCAGTTCCAGCTGAGAGCTACAACCGGAGGGGAAGCACACTGAGCTGCCGTCATTGCGCTGGCCTGGAGGACTGAAGCAGGAGGCAGCCACCAGGCTGAGCAGGAATTGCTTCATCTTTAACGGCAACACAGCATCGAGCATCACCACAGTTCAGGAGTCACCAAGAATGCAGAAAAACGCATCCTTTGCATGCGGGCGCCACTGCCAATTAACCAGCTCGATTTACTGGAGGAGGTGCTTTGGGGAGTGGCCTTGATCCTCCAGCTCTGGAGTGCCTGATCCTGGCTGTTGGCACCAGCATAACGCGCTGGGTGAGTTTGTTCTGCTCCACTAGCACAAACTCTCCACTCCAAGTCATGTGGAGAGCAAAACCTCCCGGAGAGGATCTGTGCACGGCACCGAGAACTGCACAAGGAGAAGGCAGGGATCAAAGCAGGGGAGCACAGAGGGCCTGTCCCTTCAATTCTTTCGAGAGAGCAAAAGAGAAGCCAAGGAAACCCTCCAAAAGGCAATCGGTGAAGAGAGGAAAGGAAATGCCGTTACAAAACTGGAAACCTCATCTTCTTGTTGGTCCTGATAAGTAATGCTCGCTGAGAAGTAATGCTTCCTCCTCCTGCCTTGCTCCAGGGACTGCTCATCACTGACAGGACAGACAGACAGACACAATGCACACTGGGGCAGGGGAGGACGAGGGAGAGAAATCTTAATAATCAGCCTAAAATTGATTCACTTCTGTTCAATCTGATTTCTCCTAACTGGATCCACATGTCCTGGCCATGGCACATTAACTTCAATTATGGCTTATTAATGTCTCTGTGATGGAGCGTGCCCCACTGAGCACTGCGGTGACTGACGTTATGAAGGGGAAAAAATTACTCCAAAGAGACAATGTGTGTAATGGAAAGAGAACCGGCGGCTTTCATCGCGCCGGCCGTCAGTCCCGGCAGCCAGGAAAAGCTCATTCACCCATTCCCAAGAAGATGACCGAACTCATTGCTGCACCGAGGAGAAGAGTAAGTGAATAGAGATCTGTGGGGAAAAGTCTTTCCGCTTCCCTTCCCCACCCTGCCTGGCACACACGGCGGCACGCAAGCCAAGGGCTTGCTCGTGTCTATTCCTGTCTTGACTCCTCTGCATCTCCAGTTACTCTGCAGATCAATAGGGACAGGATGGAAGAAGAAAAAAAAAGAAAAGAAAAAGATACCAAGAAGAAAGAGAGTAAAAATAAACTATCAGCCATGAACGGAGAAGTGGACCTGGCTGAGGCTGTGGAGGGAGGAGATGCAGGTGGAGCGGCCACAGGACGCCCTGAAGCACCAGCCCATTGCACCACCCCCGGGAAGAGAGCAGTGACCCTCAGATTCACCAGACCCTCTGGGGACCCTGACAAACTCTTGACCCTCCTGTCCATCTGGCCTACAGGAGAAGGCAGCAAACTCCTTCCCCTTCTCCCCATGCCCTTCGCTCCATCTCTTTCTGCTTTTCCCAAAAGCTCTGTGAGATAGCGGGGAGGGGTTTTCCTTGGTGGGAAGCAGAGGGGGGAAGCACAGGGTGTGCTTGGATGTGGGACCAGGAGCCCACGGGCCAAGGGAATCAGTGAAACCTCTCTGAACCCACCAGCTAAGGCCGCGGCATGAAAAACCGCCCAGGCTTATGGTCTGCTCTGAGGGCAAAGCGTTTTGCTCTTCCCCTGACCGTGAACATCAGCTGGAAATGAGCTGCCATGTGTCTCATCGCCCTGCGGGCACTGCCAGCTGCCTGCCAAAACCCTGGTGCCGTAGAGGGGCACAGGCAATGCCCCGCACCGCTCCTCTGATGGCACCCACCACGGCTGGGCACCGCTCCTCCGGCCTCCCGGGGCCGCTCACATCTCTACGTCACCGGCTCCTCTGCTCTCCTGCTGGGATTTTCTGGCTGCTTTTTGCCTCTGAGCCTTCATTTCTTCATAATCATCTTCCCTCTCATTTCCATGACCCCTGTAGTGACTCCCTAACA